TGCTATTGGGGTTGGAGGCCATTGCTATTAGGTTGGGGGCCATCCCTTTTCGGTTGGTGGCCGTTGCTATTGGGGTTGGAGACCATTGCTATTAGGTTGGCGGCCATCCCTATTCGGTTGGTGCCCATTGCTATTGGGGTCGGAGGCTATTGCTATTAGGTTGGGGGCCATCCCAAGGTTCGGCTCCATGCGGGCGGGGGGATTGCCCACTCCCTAGCTCGTTAGCTGCAGACCTTAGCGCACCCGTTTTTCATGGGAGCGCGCGTGTGGTCGCGCATTTCTTTTTTTGTACTGCTCTTCGTCCACGACTTGGCCAAGGGAGCCCCCTTGGCACAGGCATCTTCGGAAGGCCAGGCAGCGTATTCGATTGCTGAAGGCTCGACTAATGGCTTCAATGTGGAACTGCGCTAACGTGCCAAGTCGGAGGAGCGCAAGAAGCGTTCCAGATCCAAGAACCGACAAGACAAAGGAAAAGAGGAGGCCAACTACGATCCTCTCAGGCCTTTCGGCGTCAAGGGAGGCAAAGAGGCCAAAGAAGAGGAAGTGCCATGGCAGAACACTACTCCTGCAAGAAGAATCACAGCTCGACGCGCAGACGAGCCCACCGCTGCAGAAGCAGATTCGTACGCAGTGAAGGACAACACCAAGGTCATGGCACAGTTGGAAACTATCCGATCAGCACTGGGAGACAATCCAGCAGAAGAGGTTTTAGCAGCTCTGGAAAGTCTGGATTCCTCAGTGAGAAAGGATGCTGGCAAGCCAGCAGTATCAGAAGATCAAGCTTTGAGTGCTACGCTGGAAAAGGCAAAGCAGAAGCTGTTAGATCTGGACGCTGCGTGGAAGAGCTTTCAGCATATGGCGTCGCAAAGAATCAAAGAGCAAAAGGACTCTTACCTTGCACAGCGAGTCGAAGCAGTGCAGGTGTATCAGCAAAGAGTCCAAAAACTGCAAGAAGCAGAACGAGATCTCAAATCTCGTACTGCAGAGGCGGGCGCTCTTTCTTTGGAGGACGACATCGACGACGCAGACCTCCAGGCTATGTTACAAGTGGCAGCTGGCGGAGAGGCAGACTTTATCGATGTGGATGCTATGCAGGAAGAAACTGTAGAGCAAAATGCCTTCACCCTCAATTTGAAGCCGTTCGGTCGTTTCAAGCCAAACACGACGTCACCGAAACGCAAAATCGAGGAAACAGGGAAGGATGCAGAGAAAGAAGAAGGGCCCCCCAAAAGCAAGGGTCCCAAGAAGTAGCTTTGTCAAACCAGCACTTGCTTGAGGTGGCGCCATTTAAGGCTGACACTTGGGTGTTTAGTGGTGGTGATGCATTCTGTTGCGGTGAGTTTCGCTTTGGGCAAGGCCGCTCATCGTTTGAATGCCAATACAGTCTTTTGAGAGGTGGTTGCTGTGACTGTTCTCGTTTGCGCAGTTTCGGTCATTGCATGCCAGCTTTTGAAATGCATGGAATTGGTGGAAACGTTATGAACCCTCATACCCTTTACCTTGGTCAGGTATTGTGGTATTGGGGTGTGTACCAGTTTCGAGGACCTTTTGTTGCACAGGATTCGCTTGGAGGTGGTCAAAAAGCTCTAGGTCCTACGATGGCTGTGCTGGGAGTTGGATCTGTGGATCTGTATCAGCCAGAGCTGCACATAGCTCGACAGCCTGAAGTCAAATCCAGTGGAGCTGACGCTTTGCAGAAAAAGTTTCATTTGGGGCAAGCTTTGCCTGGATGTGTTGACGATTCTGCTATTGGTAGTTGGCCAAATTCGAAGGATGATCATTCCAATCCGCCCCTGTACGCATAGTAGACGGGCCAAGAAGTTGGTCTTAGTTGGCAACGCACGCAGACAAGCCAGGATTCCAATTCAAGTGCGCATTGCTGTGGGGAAAGTGAATTTTTTCGCTTACCTGTTGACAGTTGATGCCTCGGGTTTGAATAGAGTTGGTGGACAGCAAAGTGATGGCAGTCCATTGAGGGCTGACAGCAATGGAACATCGGGTGACAGCGGGATGGAATTGCTGCATCGTGCCGTTTGGGCACAAATTGTAGCACAAAGACATCAAGTACATGGTGACGGAGTTCCTGTGCAGATCTTCGCTAGGCAAGAAAGAGTAACTTTTGTTGAAGTTGCTGATATTCTTCTTGAGCCGGATTTGGATTGGGCGGAGTCCAGGTTACAAGAGGCAGGTATCAGGCTTCAAAGTCATGTATTGATGCCGGTTATCCCGCAACCATCCTTAGTTACCTGCTCCTTGTTGCTTGTGGATAGGTCTGAAGAGGATGCTGTTATCTTGGTTGGTAATGAAGTCCTCGATCGTCACGTCGTTCCGAGAGGGATTTCGATGATTCAGCTTCAGCAAGAAATTGGAGTCTTTCTTTGCAGAGATCATTGTGCGCAATACTTTCCGTCCGATCATAGGATTGCCAGTGGGCAATGGTTTCGCTCCAATGAGAAGAATGATGATGTGTCCTTCATGCAAAGACATCCAGGACTTCCTTTGGAAGTTAACCCTGAGGTGTTGGTAGGTGAAGCCTGGGTTGGAACTGGTGTGGCAGTTCGAGTGTGGTTTCACAACCACATGCAGGTGCATGGCTTCCGTAGTTTTTCGAAGTTTGTCTGCATAAAGCAAATGAGATGTCCTGCCTTTGCGATTGTGCAGATGTTCAGTCATGAGTTGGGCCCGTCGCTGTATGACCTTGCCCCGGTGCATAATTCTGGTGTTCGTGGTAGGCATTTTGTTCTCACCACCAGAGGTGCGTTTGAAGGAGCAGTAGTGCTTGTACAATCGGTCCAGCAAAGAAGCTTGGCGCAGTGCTTTTTCGCAAGGGTTGGGATGATTGCGATGTTGCCACTCTCTTGGATAGAGTGCAACCAGGCCATTATTGTGAGAGTGGTTTGGAGTGCTGGGTTGAGCAAGAAGGAAACAAGTGGTTTTATGGTCAAGTGCTTCCTGTACGACATGGCAGGTTTTTCCGTGTCTTCATTGATGAAGTTGCCACGCCACGGAGCCCTTCTGGATCCTCTAGTACCTGTGACAGTGTACTTACGGCATCTCCGGAGTTGTATGATGATACTATCCTGGCTGTTTCCAGTCTGAGGGATAACACTGCAACCCTCACGGGAGATACCGACATAGCTCTGGTCAGTTTAGGGGATGGCGCGAGTTTCATGCAGCTTACGAATGAGCAAATGGCTGCAATCAGATGGGCTCGTATTGAGCAAGCCGTTCAGCACAAGCAATCTATTTATGAAGTCGCGAATTTTGCTGTTCAGAACTTCGTCAAACGAGATCTTCTTCAGAGATGGATAAGAAGCATCGACTTTGGTCCAGCTGAAGCGGAGAGTGTCATGCTAGCTGTTTGGCGAATACACCCAGCCTTGCCAATAGTTTATGATTGTGATCGCCTGCTCATGGACGAGGGCAATTGGGCGAGAAACTTTCGGCAATATTGGCGCATCAACGATGATTTTAGGGTTCCCAGAACTGCAGCGGTGGTGCCACAGCCGCCGAGAATTTCTGGATTGGAACCAGCGCAAGTACACCTGTTGGCTTTCGAAAATCACCGGATGCCGGAAGATCACATGGCCCACTTGATTGACATCTGGGTCACAGGTGATGCTCTGCCGCGCACAGGTAGAACCTTCATTTCTCGCAAGGCAGTGATGTGCCCCCCGAACCTTCACGGTGCAGCAAATTGGGGCATTGCTGCAATTGGAAGAGTTGAAGGAGGAGGCCAAACAGGTGGTGATGCTATTTTCTTTGAGAAATGGAGGGCCGCAGGCCATATTCCATTTTGATGAGAAACTGCGAGTTCCTGAATTCTCATTCCTTGATTTGGTAGTGGTGCGAAAAGAACGGCAATGTGAGAATGTTGGAAGACTGCATCACTCTTTGGGACATCAAGCTCGCAATGGGCCAAGTGAGGGTAACACTGCAACCTCAGGTCTGGGCGAGCTGGATGAACAAGACCGCACTGATATAGGCAGTCTCATGCAGAGGTTTGCCGTCTCATCCGGTAGGCTGTTCTCGCGCGATCTCTTGCGGCATCAAGTTTGGAGCAGTGAATTGCCTCAGCAAGCAAGTGAGGCGGTGCATTGGACTGTCTTCCAGGACTTTGTGTCTCGTAATACTAATGTCCTAGACTTTGATGGAATGCGGAATGAATTTGCTGCAACTTGTCGCTCGGGCGCTGACTATGTGGTCTTCACATTAGGTCATGCCTCTACTGGCCTTGAGCATTCGTGGTCACTCATGTGTTCATTGGGCGTTTATTCCTTCCAAGAATTTGTTGGTCACTTGCGGTTTGAGCTGTGGGAGGCTGTAGATGTTGAATGTGAGTTCACGGCAGCCCGAGTGTTCCCACAAGTACCGCCCAGAGAGGCGGACAATCTAGACACCATTTACGTGGTA